CAATTATGGCTTCTGCTTTGGCAGGGGGCTGACAGACAGAGACTTTTACAATCTCAGAATCATCAACACCTCAGATTCTGACAGGATGAGCTTTAAATCCCTTCCATCCCAAACCATTCCATGATTCTGTGGCAGAATTTGGACAAGATCCCCACTCCCTGCATCCCCTCAGGCACTGTGGAAAGTCTCATTATTTTGTATTTTGGGAAGTCTGAGGGGCAGCTGATGCCCTCTGTTGTCTCCAAGGAATGGCTTCTCCCTCCCTACTCTCCAGCAGCAGATTCCCAGATGGAAATGCAGGATTAAAGACCTGCCTGGAGCAGGTTTCTGGTGTGGGAATAAAAAAGTCATTAAGGGCCGGCACAGACAATGAAATGAAACTTTGTCATCTTGTGTTTGAGCTGAGCAGACGCTGAGGGAGCTGACGAGAGGCAAATTAATTTGCTTTTTCCGAAGGCTCCTGAGTGACGTTAATAAAAGCAGCATTTTGTGCAGGCTCGTGGCTCAGGATGCAGAGATTCAGAGTCCTCCCCGTCCTCACAGAGCTCTGCTGAAAGCCCTTTTCTCCTTTGGAAGCAGGGAAAGGAGGAGATTTTTGATTCCAGAGCTTGGGTGTAATCCCTGGCCAGCAGCTCAGGATGTGTCCTGGCAAAGGGACTCAGGTTTAGGGGGTTCCTCTCCTTGTAATTTCCCTTTTATTCTGGCATTCAAATCTGATCCAAATCATTTCCCTGAGCCCACTTGCCAGTTCCTCTCCTGCAGCAAAAAGCAGATCCCAGGGGATGGATGCTGGGAGGTTCTCTCCCAGCCCTGCCTTTCCTGATGAGGAGCCATAAAGCTCCCAAAAAAACCAAGCAGCTGCTAATTAGTGGTCAGCAGAGGAGCTGGGGGCTGGCAGGAGAGAATCCTGGATTCTGGGAGAATCCTGCCTTGGGGCTGTGCCACGGGTCCTGCTGGGCTCTCCTCCCAGCCCATCACATTCCTTGGCACGATGCTCCCCGCAGGATGCGACCTCCTTGCCATTTCCAACATTTTTCCCATTTTTTAAAAAATTTTCTTTCTATCTTTTGCACACCAGGCAGCCTCTCCCTCTGGCTTAGAGCAGAATTAGGTCCTGAAATTCCAGCGTGAGCAACCAGGTCGTGACCATCCAGATAAATAAAGCTCAAGGACCCAAGGCTCTTCCTAAAGTTTTTGGCTCCTTTTCCAGCTGAGCACACCCCGAGACATGATGGGAGCCCCAAAACTGAGCCCAGAATGTGCTTTTCCTCCTGCTGTGTGCACGGATGAGGGAATAATTTGGGAAGGGACGACTGTGCCTTCCAAGTGCTGGGTGGGATGGTGCCAAATTTGGCTTCCCAAGGTTGGCACCAGGATTAATGACATTCTGTGGGTGTGGGGAGCACCCCAGCTTCACCCCCATGGGCAGGCACATCTGGAAATCCCATCCCTAAAAATCCACAGCCCCTCAGCTACAGGGTGCTGCCAAAAACTCACTTGAGCAAGAGCAGCCCCTGCCTGACATCTGCCCACACATCTTTGGGAGGCCAGGAAACTTCCTGTGGACGTTGGCTGCCTGACAGAAGTGACCTCAATTTTGCCTTTTTTAGGGTGGGTATTTTTGGGGGTGGTGTTTTGCTAACAGGTGGGAGCTTTGCCTGCCTCTCCCTGCCTGTGGGATAGGCAGGTTTTAGGGAAGAGCTCAGAGATGGGGGGAGGAATTCTGTAGCTCCAGTAAGAAATGTCATTCTGCATCTGTAAAACACAGTTTAATTCCACTTCTTAGGAAATTGGAGGCACCCACTTCCCCCTGCCAGCCTCTCCTGCTGCCCTCTCCCCCCATTCCCGTGGTTTGATCCCACATTTCCTCCAGGAGCCAGATCTACCCTGAGGAGCATCACAAGCACAAACCCACACATGATTCAGCAGGCTCCTTTGAGAGACATTTATTATTTAAATAATAACTTTTTTTTTTTTTTTTTTAACACATCACCTCGACTCACAAACCACGGAAAAAAACCCAAATCTCGGCACCTTTGGGCTCCCTGAGCAGAGCTGCAGCTCCCAAATGAGACTCCACACTGGGAATTGCACAAATGCCACTGGATGTGTTGGATGCTGCTCGAATGGGAGCCACAAGAACATTCCTAATGGCAGTGGTGGCCTTGGGATGTGGAGTTGGATGCTCCTCATCCCAGTGGGAACGATCCTGGAATCCCAAAGAGCAAGAGGAATCCCAGAAAACAAAATAGTGGTGTTGAAGGATGCTGCCCAGCAGGGCAGGGTTGATGACCTGGATGGTTTTGCAGTTGTTTTTTTGCTTTTATTGATTTTTTGGGGGGGTTATTTTAAATAAATATTCACACCAATCAAGGACAAACCCAAACCCCACCAGCAGCAGCACCCTGGATGTGGGTGAAGCTCATGGCTGTGACCATTCCTTGGTCAGGCTCTTTGTTCCTTTTGTTGGCTATTTCAGAAATCACGGGGCAAAGGGAATTTCCGGATGGGTGCTGCAGAGGGGCTGCTCTGCTCCATCACAGCGCCAGGGAAATGCCAAAATTCGGCTTTTTTAGTACTTTGGTGCCCCTCAAGGACCCACCAGTGCCTAAAATCTCGAGGGTGTGGCACAGACAGACATCAGCACACAGACCTGCCCCTAAAAAAGTGCACTTCTTTAGGCAACCACCCTAAAAAAAGGGGGACATTTTGAGGATACACTGCTCCCTTCCTCTCCTTCCCAATCCCTACGGATCTGGGGGCCCAGATGGGTGCGTGCAGCCAGCCAGCCCCATCTCCAGGAGCCACAGCCCTGCCTGCATCCCACAAAACCCGCAAGAACCAGCAAGAACCTCTGCTGCCCAACCGTGGGGTCATAACAAAACCCCCCCAAACTTCACCCCCAGCAGGGGGGCGAGCCCTTCTCCAGCCCCGAGGGCGACAGCAGCACGCAGGGACTCGCCAACCCTTCCAACCTCCTCCCCGCGAGAGGCCGCGGTGACATCCCAGGTGACACCCTGAGCCACCCCAACCCTGGCCGGGCCGCGTCTCTCGGTGAGGCCGAAGGCAGAGCTCCCTCAACACCCGTCGGGGGAGGCTGGCTTCTCCTGGATCTACTGCCCGCAGAGCTCCGGCCGGGCCACCGGCTTCGTCACGGCCGACGACACCGTCCGGCTGTCCGGGGCCGCGGGCGGCAGCCGGCAGCAGAGCGCGGCGCGCATGAGGCGCAGCACCGGCGGCCGCAGGATGGCGAAGACCCAGGGGTCCACGATGGAGTTGATGGACAGGAAGCGCAGGGCCAGCAGGTCCAGCTCGTGGCCGTCCTCCTCCTGGCTGAATTTGTTCACGTAGGCGCGGATCTGCCGAGCCAAGGTCGGAAAGGAGATTGAAATGAGTGAAACGGCCTCGTTCCGCGTTCCCCCCACCCGCCCGCCGCCCCGGCATTGCGCTAGCGCGCGTTCATCCAAGCCCCGTCCACGGGATTCATGGAATTCATGGAATTTACAGAATTCACAGACTCCACAGAATTCACAGAATTCACAGACTTCACGGAATTCACAGACTTCACGGAATTCACAGACTTCACGGAATTCAGAGAATTCACAAACTTCACAGAATTCACAGATTCCACAGAATTCACAGACTTCACGGAATTCACAGACTTCACAGAATTCACAGAATTCACGGAATTCACAGAATTCACAGAATTCATGGAATTCATAGAATTCACAGACTCCACAGAATTCACAGACTCCACAGAATTCACAGAATTCACAGAATTCACGGAATTCACGGAATTCACAGACTCCACAGAATTCACAGAATTCACGGAATTCACAGAATTCAGACTTCACAAAGTTCACAGAATTCACAGACTTCACGGAATTCACAGAATTAATGGCATTTACAGAATTCACAGACTCCACAGAATTCACAAACTCCACAAACTTCACAGAATTCACAGACTCCACAGAATTCACGGAATTATGAGGCTGGAAGAGACCTTCAACATCATCGAGTCCAACCCAGCCCCAACAGCTCAACTCAACCCTGGCACCCAGCGCCACATCCAGGCTTTGTTAAACACACCCAGGGGATGGGGACTCCACCACCTCCTGGGCAGAACATTCCAGAACTTGATCACTCCTTCAGTAAAATCTTCTTCCTAATATCCAACCTAAATTTCCCTTGGTACAGCTGGAGACTCTGTGCTCTGGTTCTGTCAGTTGCTGCTTGGAGGAGGTGCATCCAACCTGGTCTGGAACCCTTCCAGCCACATCTTCTCTGGAAAACCTGAATCAGGGCCTCACCACTCTCACAAGAAATAATTTTTTACTCATATCCCATCTAAACCTCCTCTCTGTAAGTTTCAATCCATTTCTCCCTTATCCTGTCACTCCAGGCCTTTGTAAAGAGTCTCTCCATCTCCCCTATAGTTCCTTTCAAGTACTGGAAGGTCATAATTAGGTGAACCCAAATCCTTCTCTTTTCCAGGGTGAACAATCCCAGTTCTCCCAACTTTTACTCACAGCAGAGCTGCTCCATCCCTTTAACCAACTTGGTGCCTCCTCTGAACTCGCTCCAACAGCTCCAGGTCTTTCCTGTTCTGGAAGGACCCCAGGGCTGAGCACAGCACTGCAGTGGGGTCTCAGGGAGAAATCACAGGGAGAAATAATCCCAAACCTGGGCCCCCAGGCAGCTCTTTTGGGGCAATTTTGAGCTGGCACAGCAAATCTGCTGACTGCACGGGTTTAAATGACCTTGAAATGAAAGCCAGCCCCGTGCTCCACTTCGTTCAGAGCCACAGTCCAACCCGTGGCTGCTGGAGGAAGTGGTGGCTCCCACCTTGAGACCACACGGGAGCAACAACCGTGGGAGAGGATGAGCGCTGCTGGACCTGGCCCGTCCTTCCCGCGACTGCCGACTCATCCCAGCCCCGGGGCTTCCTGGCAGGGTGACTCAGCACTCCTTACTCACCCGGGTCACTCGCCACCCCCTCACTCGGGGCTGGGGAGATGCTTGGATGGGGCTGGAGCAGCCGGAGCATCCCTCCCCTGCTGGGATCCGCCGGGTACCACGCCGGGCTGGCACGGCCGCGCTCAGCGCTGCCAAGCCCTGGTGCGTTTTGGGAAGGAATTCGTGGCCCGATGGGTTTGTGTGCCTGGGCTCCTCCTGGGAGGAGCGGTGGCTGCTGTGGGCAGCTGAGGACAGGACAGAAAGTGTCACCCCGAGGAGGCAGCTGGGTTTGGGCAGCTGAGGGCAGGAGAGAAAGTGTCACCCCGAGGAGGCAGCTGGGTTTGAGCCGCTGCCAAAGCGCGGCCCCGCATGGGAGCCGGGCGATGGGAAAAGGGAAGCTGGCTCGGGATAAGGCCACATCTGCCACCACAGGACCCATGGGATCCCGGCCAGGGCCGCTTTCCCAGCCCCTCTGCCCCCAGCACGCTCACAGGGCCCTGCCCGCGTGTCCCCACCGAGGGGTTCCGCTTCCTACTGGCCACAGCAGCCAGCCCAGGGCGTTTTTGGGACATGGGAAGAGTGTCCATCATGTGTGGGTTCAAGGTCAGGAGCTGGAGAGTCTCTCAGGGCTTTGAGGCTCCTGGGATGCTCACAAACATCTGGACACTATTCCTTTGTGCTCAAAGCCCGGCTCAGCCGTATCCTGTGGTTATTTCCTTTTCCCTTAGGAAAAGCAAGGGAGCATGAAGGGAAGGTGGAGTCTATTTAACACCAAGAGTGTGAAATTAGCACTGGGTGTGCTCCCAGCCTTGGTGGGGTCACTTCTTCAAGGACATCCAGCACTGGGGGGCTCATACACCCGGACCCATCAATGGTCCTGGTGGAAAAGCACTTGGAGGGATGAAAAGTGGCCCTTGGGAGGGGAGAGCCCAGACAGAGGCAGGGCACTTGCTCTCTCCACTCCTTCACTTGGCTGTTTTGATCCCAGATTTCTGCTGGAAGCCTCGTGCATGGATGGGGCACGGGATGTGGGGATGTCCCTTGGGATGACACGTGCTATGGCTGCTGTGCCAGGCCTCTGTTCCCAGAAATCTCCCATCTCTGTGCCAGCGCCTCAGTACTGCTGCAGAGGAGCAGAAACCTCTAACAGTGAGGTGAGTGCAGCCTTCCACATCTCCAGCTCTATCCACAGAAATCTGGGATAACTCATCCCGCCCAGCACGGACATCCACTGCCTCCAGCCCAGGGCAGCTCCTTCATCCCACCTCTAGAAGTGTGGTTGGTTGTTCTGCCATCCCTCACACCTCCACCGTGAATTCCTGGATCCTGGGAATCGCAGTGATGCTGTGTGCTCCAGGACACCCCCCGGCTGTCCCTGCCTGAGCCACACAGCCTGGCCTCAGAGCCTCTGTGGGGTGGGAGGGCACCTCTGCTCCTGCCAAATCATCCTCCTGCCACCCCATTCTGCTGCCACCCCTTCTGCTGTCAGATCATTCTTTTGTCAGACCATCCTCCTGCCATTCCATGCTCCTGCCACCCCATCCTGCCATCCCATCCTCCTGCCATCCCATCCTCCTGCCATTCCATCCTCCTGCCACATCATTCTCCTGCCACCCCCATTCTGCTGTCAGACCATTCTTTTGTCAGACCATCCTCCTGCCACCCCATCCTGCCATTCCATGCTCCTGCCACTCCATGCTCCTGCCATTCCATCCTCCTGCCACTTCATCCTCCTGCCACCCTGTCCTCCTGCCACCCCATCCTCCTGCCATTCCATCCTCCTGCCACCCCATCCTGCTTATCCCATTCTCCTGCCATTCCATGCTCCTGCCACCCCATCCTCCTGCCACCCCATCCTCCTGCCATCCTGTCCTGCCACTCCATCCTCCTGCCACCCCATCCTCCTGCCATTCCATGCTCCTGCCACCCCATCCTCCTGCCATTCCATGCTCCTGCCCCCTGTAATCCTGACACCCCATCCTCCTGCTGGCACTGGGGACACAGGGAGTGATTCCCCCGCTCCCCAGCTGATGTGCAAATTACCAAGCTCATGTCTGAGCTGGGCTCTCCCAAGCTTTGACCTCAACCCTCGAGGTCTGGCCAGCGGAGCTGGGGGAAGCTTTACAAAGACCAGGAGAGACACGCGGGCGCTGGGGGAAGAGGGACCAGCCAGTGACACTCACCGTGAAGGGCAGCGAGCAGATGACGAAGGTGATGGTCATGATGGAGAGCAGCAGGAGGTGGTCGATCTCCTCGGCCATGGAGAACATGCGCCGGCCGCAGGCGGTGGCCAGGCGGGGCTGCTCGGGGCTGCCCACCCGGCGTGTCCTCTGCCCGCGGCGGTGCATGCGGGCCAGGTTCACGATGACGCTCAGGTTGCAGAGCAGCACGGCGAGGATGAGGAAGAGGAGCAGGGTGGCGTAGAGCAGCGAGAAGGTGACGTTCAGCCCCGCCACCTCCCCGTCGCTCTGCTGCGCCTCCAGGTGCATCTGGATGAAGCACCAGGTGCCGGGGCAGTACTGCACGTAGCGCCCGAAGCCCACCAGCGGCAGCGAGCAGAAGGCGGCCGAGAAGGTGTAGATGGCCGGCAGGGCCACCAGCCCCGTGCGGGGGCTCAGGAAGCGCTCGTAGAAGTAGGGTCGCCCCAGGGCCAGGCAGCGCTCCAGCGCCATGGTGAAGAGGATGAGCATGGTGGCGAGGCCGAAGAAGCTCATGGCGAAGCCGAAGTAGAGGCAGAGGTGCCCCCCGCGGGCCAGGCTGGTGAGGGTGAGGTTGCGGTGGTAGGAAGCGAGCACCAAGGGGCTGACGGAGCAGGTGCCCAGCAGGTCGGTGACCACCAGGGCCAGCACCAGGACGTGGAACAGCGCGGGCGGGCGCTGCCGGGGCCCGCGGCGGCCGCGCAGGAGCAGCCCCAGCGCCAGGAGGTTGCCCAGGAGCCCGGCCGAGAACATGAGGGCGCTGACCAGCGGCCGAGCCCCGGCCGGCAGCGCTGCCCCGTCGCTCCCGTGCGCCCGGCCCGTCCCGTTCATCCCGCGCCGCCGCCGCCGCACGCCCGACTGCGCC